GATTTGTGTGTGTGTGTGTGTGTGTGTGTGTGTGTGTGTGTGTGTGTGTGTGTGTGTGTGTGACAGATAAATACTGCTCATTTGATAAATATCTCATTTAAATTATATTCCCCCTCATATATGGATTAAGCTATACATTTTGTTACTAACTTGTACTGAAGCTAACTTCTTTTTTAGGGTAGCTTGTGCAGTTGAGCTACATTCAATTATTAATATCATTAGTAACGTCTCTTTCTATGTCTGTAGGTACGTTCAGCTGTCCGTAAGCGGTGGCATCGCTGGCAGGATAAGCACTCCATTCGGGCACGGGTGGCACGGGCCATGTCTATTCCCACCTCTCCAACACGGGTCAGTTTCCACAGCATCAAGCAGTCGTCGGCCATCTGACCATAACCGAAGCGAAGCATCCGTCCCCGTTTCTTCTGCTCCTGCTCTTTCTGTCCTCAGCTAACTATCCACGTCCTCTGCAAAACCCAGGGATAACAGCTATGGGCCAAACAGGGTATGATCCTCAGCTGAAACACAGATGAAGGGTGGCAATGTACACAGATTATGAGGTCCACCTGCCAAACACAGAGGAAAAAACTGTTTCAGAAACAGATTAGAGCATTGGTGGTCTCAGACAGCGATGGGTGACCGTGGGAGGACCCTGACACACACACAAAAAGTTGATAAATACTGGCAGAGCGTATTTTTTCAAGAGACAATAGAGTTAAATGTTGCATCCTCTCCTCCTGATTTTGAGTCTTCTCTGATTGGAGAGCTCAGTTTATTCCTAACTTGTTTCCAGAACTATCGGAGTTGGATAAAATGGAATGTACACTACATGGCCAAAAGTATTGCGACTGTGAGCCATACATGCATCTGAATGGGACCAAATCCATATTCCTACGTCAATTGGAAACCTTCCCTGAAGAGTGGAAGCTGCAGGATAAACTCCTTATTGATGCCAATAGTTTTGAAATTAATTGCTTAGAAATCACATATGGGTTCAGTGTTCATGTGTCCTCAAGCTTTTGGCCATATAGTGCAATAGTTTTAGGAGTTTTAAAACAAAATGACATAATCAGAGAAAAAAAAAATCCAATCGGAAAACAAACAATATCTTTGACAGATCTCAATGTGAACTTTCATTATTGTGATTGAATCTTTTAACTGGATACATTGGAGACAAATGTATGGTGTTTTCTCTGAGATGTTCAGGGGTGCGTTTCCCAAAAACAACTATGGTCGCAAGTTCCGTCGTTACCAATAGAGTTCAATGGAACTAACGACCAGAGTTAGCTAACGATGCTTTTGGGAAACACACCCCAGATTGTGACCCTTATACTTTTTCTTACTCTTCACTCGCTGCTCTTTATTGCCCACTTGGTTGCAGCTAGTAATAGTTCCCTCTGATTGTCATAAATTTCCTGTGAGCAACCTCATTCAACATGGGCACTTTTTGCTTTGATATGATGAGTACATCTATTGCTGTGTATATCATGCAGTGCGAGTGTGAAAACTCTAAACCGTTTTTAGAAAGATGAAAGGTACGTGTTAATGCTCTCTAAGCCTGTTTGCATCCTGGGACTCAAGGATGCAGTATATCTAAACCCTGGGGAAAAAGAGGAAGGAAGCTCACAGGAAAGGAAACAACATCATGAAAGGCTAAGGTAGAAGACGGTACGCTCCGATGCTAAAAACATAACACAATCTTTTAAATAAGGGGTTTATCACAGAACAAAGAAAGGATTTTGATTTTATCCTGTATTTGGAGCCTCAGCCAAGCGGGCGATTGAATGTATTTCAATTAACCACTCCAGCTCTCCTTTCCATGCACAGTTTTATATAAATTCCCAGTTATCAAGCAGTTTTACGAGATGATCATAGTACAAAATACTTGCGAATTTGGATTCTGAAGACTTTTCCAAAAAGACTAATTCTAATCACACGCGACTGGATGCTGTGGGTAGTTTTTGTTGCCTTATAGTGATAGTTCACCCAAAATGACAATTCTGTCATCGTTTACTCATGTTGATCCAAAATAGTATGACTTTATTACGTCCAACAAACACAAAAGGAGAAATTTTGAAGAATGTACACCACCGTTCAAATGTTCAGTAAGATTTTTTTTTTTTAAGAAATCAATACTTGTATGCGGTAAGGGTGCATTAAATTGATCAAAAGTGTCCGTAAATACATACAAAACATGATATTTCAAATAAATGATGTTCTTTTGAACTTTCTATTCGTCAAACAATGCTAATAAAAAAGTATCACAGTTCCACAAAAATAATAGGCAGTAGAACTCTTTATAATGTTGATAATAAGAAATGTTCCTTGAGCAGCAAATCAGCATATTTGCATGATTTCAAAAGGATCGTGTGACACTGAAAACTGGAGTAATGAAAATGTAGCTTTGCATCACAGAAATAAATTACATTTTAAAATCAAATTTTTTTCTTTATTTTGTAATAATTTGATCAAATAAATTCAGACTTGGCAAGCATTAGACACTTCTTTCAAAAGCATTAAATATTTTTGAACGGTAGTGCAGCTGGATGCTTTAGTAATCTTCCACTTCAGTAAGCTATTCACTTGAGAACTGCAACAAACCGGATCACTGAATCAATGAGTTGAATTGAATCAGTTTGATTTGAGAATGATTCTTTTATTCACAGACTGGTTTTGTGAACTCGGTCAGCTGATTCACTGAAAAGATTTAACTCAAAAATGATATGTTCACAGATGTGAATAAATTTGTGCTTCAAGGAAGAAAGAAATTCCAAAGAAATTCAGAACATCATGAGGGTGAGTAAATGATGACAGGTTTCATTTTGGGTGAACTATCCCTTTTTAAAATGTCAGTTATTTCTATGAAACAAGGTGCATTTCAACATTTACATTGCTAATGGTGTTACAGGTGTGGGCAGGAAATTATATGGAGAGCAGGGAAGTCACCGTGTCATTTGTGGACCATTTTTTTCCCTAGTTTCTTTGGACAGCTGTTCTGTATGGAAGTAAATTAGAAAAATAGACGAATAGTGCATTTTTGTGTTTTCCAGGACCAGCTTCTCAATTCAAATCCCAACAGAATCAGGCCAGAAGAATTACCTCAGCAAAATCTGCTTCTATATCATTAGAGTCAAGAGAGATCTGCATGCCTCACGTTGGGTCATTTAACCTCCATCCATGTGTTAAAACCCTCGCTAAGCTGAGCCGCCAATGACCGAGTCCTGTGACCACTCACTGCTGATTCAGCACAGATTTAGCATTTCTGCTCATACATCCAATCAAACACATCTGATAGGGAGAGCAAGGTTGTTTAAAAAAAAACTGACTCAGGACCTTCATCTTTGCCTCTGTGCTCTTCTGACCTTACTGAAGTACTTGTGCGAGAATCATTTGTAAAGGCTTCAGCAGATTCCACATTCAGTCATGCTTGTTGTGTACATGTCCAGTAGCACCATATATTCGAGTTAGACATCTAGTTGTGTATATATAGGATGGCTAGCATTGTGAAGTTTGTGAATTACCATATAGCATTGTGTATACCTGACAAACTGAGGACCAAGCTCGTGTCACTGCTAGTAAACTGAAACACAAGGTTCATTTTAGTGTCGCTACTAAGTTTAGGACTAAGGCTTTGTTTGGTTTTTAAATCTATTTTTAGTCTGTGCACAGTCATTTTACAGTGAAATCTGATCTGTTTGTTCTGACAATGTAGTAAATATCCGGATGCCAGCAGTTGTTAGTGGAAAGAGAGGGCAGAAGGTAGAAATTTTGCCTCTGAACATGTCTGTCATGACATCTTGCCACTGTGCTGAACTTGAGAAAACACTAGTGGTGGGCATTTTAGCCATTCATGCATATTCTGTGTACAAAACCACCTGTTTGTTCACTGTTCACTACATAGTGAAGGCTTTTATATCTCACTATATGAGGAAAAAATGAGAGAGTATATTCTGACACAGTTCCAAACAATACTGAGTATTTTGAATGATATACAAAAGTTTGTGGTCTGTAAGATGTTTTAATGAATGCTTTTATTCAGCAAGGATGCATTAAATTGATATACAGAATGACAATTTATGTTGTTACAAAATATTCTAATTTAAAACAAATGCTGTTTATTAAACGTCCTATTCATCAAAGAATCCTAAAAAAGGCATCACAGTTTCTACAAAAATATTAAGCAACACAACTGCTTTCAACATTGACAATATTAAGAAATGTTTCTTGAGCCTGGTGCATATTAGAAGGATTTCTAAAGGATCATGTGACACTGAAGACTGAAGTAACAATTTTGCCTTCACAGGAATAAATTACATTTTGAAATCTATTCAAATAGAATACAGTTATTTTAAACTGTAATAATATTTCACAATATTACAGTTTGTAACATCTTTCAAAAACATTTAAAAATCTCACTGACCCCAAACTTTTGAACAGTATAGTGTGTATTTAATGCAGCACCCCAGATAATGATTAAAAAGTCTGAAATCTGATCTAACCATTTAGAATGAGATTTATAAGGATTTCAAACCAGATATGGATGTTGTCTTTGTCTGTAGTTACTCATTTTTTCAAGCCTGTAAAATGGCCTGTCAAAGTTTATCTCAAATTGCAGCAGCAAAGGAAGATCAGATTACAAAAATGAAACAAATCACCCCATCGATTTACTGGCATGCCACTAAATTTTCAATCAAGACTCTCTCACAGCACAATATACCAGAGGACAAAAATATATCAGGAGATAATATACAGTCAGCTGGTCATTAAGGGGTTTATTTTGAGATGATGTCCATCTGACTGTACATTATTCCACTTATTAGACCGCTGCCTATCATTTAAATGCATAAATGGATATGAAATATTGATTTGAGTTGAAATTATTTGATTATGTCAGAAGAAAGAGTCTGCGGAGGTTTTCAGGGACAATGGTTAAATGTGCAGTTTAGTGGTCAGTCTGACTGCAATTGACCAATCAGAATCATGTATTCCAGAAAACCATGAAATGAAAATAGAGAAACTAAGAATAGCTGGATGCTGAATAGCAAAACTCCACAGACAGTGACGGCTGTGATGTGGACAGAAATGAGAGAAGCTTAGATTACTATTTATGTTGAACAGATCTGTTTGCTGGTACATGTGGAATCACGTCACCTGAGGGATCTGATTTAGCATCGTAGGCCTGAAGACATTCACAGCACTGCTCAGACACACTCCATCAGCATTTGCCTCACTATTTATAGCACTTTAATAGTAAACAGCTCAAATGTTCATATCATATACAAACCTGTGGGGCTACTAGCAAAAATGCCGTCTAGAGCACAAAGGTACAGTCTATACAACATTAAATAATATTACAATATATTATCCTCCTGAAGAGCTAAATTAGTGACATATCTAGTGAATTAGGTGTTAGTTCTAGAATATAGAATATACTAGAATATAGTCAAACCATATTCTAGTGCTTGCAGTGTCTAACAGTATCTAAACCTTTCATGTACCACATAAAAACATAATCCAGTGTCACATATATATTATTTACAAATCATTCATCAGTAAGTGCTGGGAAGTAGCGACACCATTTTACTACATTCAGTGGCATTAGATGCAAATTGATGGTTTAACTGCACTTTTAAAAATAAAGGTTCCTTATTGGCATCTGTGGTTCCAAGAAGAACCTTTAACATCCATGGAACCTTTCCATTTCACAAAAGGTTCTTTATAGTAGAAGTGTTTGTCAGATTATTCTAATGTTCATCACATTAAGAAAAAAGGGTTGTTTTAAGAACTGTTCACTGAAACACGAAATTGTTCTTTATGGCCTAATGGTTCAAAATGGACCTTTATATTTAAGAGTGTAATATGCGCTTTCTCAGAACAGGATATATTATATCAGACTGTTCTTTAAAGTTGAAGTGTGTAAATGTGTGC